TGTGTGTTGTGTGTTCTCGGCCCACCAGACCCAAAGCATACAAGACAGATAAACAGTTGCATGGCTTAACTAGATTGCATTGTCACAAGGAATAAGAGCAGCAGCAGAGATAAAACATAAACATCACCACGCTGACACCTGAGGAGAGGACTCTAAGTGTAACTTGGCAGGTCGGGAGGAAGCAGAGCAGTGGGAAACACCAAAACTGTGGCACTGTCAGGGGTTTTCTAAGTAGGACACAAGACCGTGGATTTGTTTTATGATCCAAGATAGAGGTTGTTAACCGTCCTCTGTCCTCCTCGAGGACTCTGGACCATGGAAGCGAGTACCCACAGGTGTTTACAGCAATAGATTAGAGCTATATTTAGTACAGCTGGCAGCACCAGAGACTTTGGGAGGCATCAAACGGCCCAGCCAAGCGGCTCCCATAACGCCTTCCAGATGATAAGGGCCTGGATGGATCTGCGTTAGCAGAGTGGAGTGTGTGGACTCGCCGGCGCAGAACCACTAGAGTTCTGGCTGATGCACCGCTCATTTAGGCACAAATAGAGACATTTTGAAGAAAGAGGTTCCTTATCTCTCACAGCGAAGACCCCGGGGCGCTTTCGCTCTTCCATCTGCGCTCTCCGCCCTGCTGCGCTGCCTTAACGAGGGCCATCCAAGCTGATGATGGTAAAAATGCAGTAAACAGCTTTGTCTTCTTTGAATGGTGACAACCAGGTCTGCACGGATCCGACGCAGAGGGATGCTACTCGTGCGCACACCTTCACACCTCACAATACTCAGCGTCTGCACAGATTTCCTTGCACAACCTGAAAATTGGCAACACACGTTTACACGTACCGAAGCCTGCAACTCTTCATCTCGGTGATGCATCTCAGAATCAATTTTTTTAGGCACATTGCAAAGCTCAGCTTTTGGCAGTTGCAGTGGGGAGAGGATGGGAGAGCTGCAGAGACTGGGATTCTGAGGTGAATTATAAATCTGCTGATAGACCAGAGGAGGGCCGCAGGAAGATTGATGCTCTCTGCTGTGAGCCAGGAGCCAAAAACAGGAGAGGAATTAAGCTGATAAATTCACTCTCATTAAATAAAACACAATCGGGGAATAATTCTTACCGTAGCATCCCCACATTACCAGAAGTTTACACTTACGTGACTAAAATGCTTGTACTATTACTTAAAATTGTTTTTAAAAACAAAAACTACTATTCAAGTCAATTTGTCTGTATGACATCATCCCAACAAGGACGACCTTTAAAACAAAGTTGTGTCTTTGCTACGTGCTGCACAGTAGAGAAAAACCATGTAAACGTCACGTGGAACATGATTATTTTTAATGTTATGTTTTCTAAAGCAAGCTGCAGCTGATAAAGGACAAAAACAAAGAGGTGCTTGTGTGTCGAGCAGGGCCGAGGCTATAGCTGGTGCTCTGTCAAGTTTAAATGACCTGAAATCACACTCGAATCACAAGAGAAATGGAGAAAATCCAGTAAAAACAGAGCTGGGGATTTTCCAGATAAGCTGCTTCTATAAGAAACTTAGAAAAAACAAATGAGAGAAAATATTTTGTGATTAAACTGTTTTAGTCTGAGCACTTTGGTGTTTCATGGTGAACGCTGGCTTCAGAGACAGAAAGGCGCTTTTAGTTTTGTGGTCATCTTTAAGGGATTTTCAACCATTTTAAAGGTTGAATGTAAAACATGAACACCATAGCAACGTCTAGTGTGTGGAGGTTGTACAGTAGCTGTACCAATAGAACATGGTTTCCTGTCGTCGGGATGCCAGGTTCACTGCTGACACATTAAGTAACCAGCCAGCACCGTGTCCAGTAACAAATCGTACAGGGTAAGGACTCTTTTCTACTAATAATTTCATTTTACAACAGTATTTAACGTTAGAACATCTTCTGGGCTCATTAACAGCTGCTTGACTCGCTGCGTCCGCCATTTTCCACAGTGCAAGCCTCGCTGTGCCGCGGATCTGTTTACCATATTTGACAACCCACAACGGTGCCTTCTAATGGCTGGTAGATGTAAACATAAACCCAGTGTTGTGCCTGTCAAAATGAAAATTTAGTTAGGAGGTGTTATTTTTCTTAAATGTAGCTTTTTATTACGTTGTTCCATATTCACCCTTTAAGTGTTTTAAGTTTTGAGCCAAACACGAATGTGCCACATGAGTGAAGCTCATTCTAATTATTTACAACTTGAACACGTTTTAAAGTGGCCCAGCGACACATTTTAAAGCACAATCCATTTTATCTGAGTTTAATCAGATCATTTATTATAAATATATACTATAATAAATAAATACTATAAATCTGTCTTCAACCAAGTCAGGAGATGCTGCTGCCCCATTTACCTCCCCCTCCCACCTGTCTGTCTCTAGAAGTCAGGTGAGGAGGCAGCTGGAGAGACTGAACAGGGTCCAGATGGTGTCAGCCCCAGAGTACTGAAGGCCTGTGCAGAGCAGCTCTGTGGGATTCTGCAGCACCTCTTCAACCTCAGCCTGGCCCAGAAGAAGGTTCCAGTCCTGTGGAAGACATCCTGCCTTGTTCCAGTTCCAAAGAAAACTCGCCCATCAGTCAATGACGACTACAGACCGGTTGTCCTGACATCCCACATCATGAAGGTCCTGAAGAGACTCTTGTTGGTCCACCTGAATAAGCAAACTAGGACATATCAGGACCCGCTGCAGTTTTGCTTATCGCCATGGAGATGGAGTTGAAGATGCCATCATCCAGCTGCTTCAACCAACCCACAGTCATCTGGACAAAGCAGGCAGCACTGTCAGGGTCATGTTCTTTGATTTCTCCAGTGCATTTAACACAATCCAGCCTGATGTACTTTGCCAGAAACTCCAGAAGACACAAGTGGGGGCCTCAACTATCGCCTGGATTAAAGACTACCTGACAAACAGACCACAGTTTGTGAGGCTGAAGAACTGCACATCAAACCAGGTGATCAGTATCATTGGAGCACCACAGGGGACTGTACTCTCACCATTCCTTTTCACCCTGTACACCTCAGACTTCCAGTACAAATCAGAGACCTGTCATCTACAGAAATACTCAGATGACTCTGCAGTCGTCGGGTGTATCAGAGATGGACAGGAAGCTGAGTACAGAGAGCTGGTGGAGCGCTTTGTAGCATGGTGTGGAAACAATCATCTGACCTTGAACGTGAACAAAACAAAGGAGATGATTTTAGACTTCAGAAGAAACAGGGTGGAGTCAAACAATGTTTCCATCATGGGAGAAGAAGTGGAGGTGGTTTAGGAATACAAATACTTTGGAGTTCACCTGGACAACAGACTGGACTGGAGAAAGAACAGCAAAGCCGTTTACAAGAAGGGACACAGCAGACTGCACTTCTTGAGGACGCTTAGGTCCTTCAGCGTCTGTAGCAAGATGCTGCACATCTTCTACAAGTCTGTTGTTGAGAGTGTAATCTCTTCAGCCATCGTCTGTTGGGGTAGCAGCATCAGAAGCAGGGACCTGAAAAGGCTCAACAGCCTAATAAAAAAGGCTGGTTCTGTTCTGGGGACGACTGTGGAACCACTGGAGGAGATAATGCAAAGAAGGATTCTCCAGAGAATCAAGAAAATTATGGACAACCCTGAGAATTCTCTTCACAAGACTGTCCGACATTGGAAGAGTGTCTTCAGTCAGAGGCTTCTTCAGTTTTGCTGCAACACTGACCGCTACTGGAGATCCTTCCTGCCAACAGCCATTGTAATATACAATAACTCTTTGACGACTTGATTATTATTATTATTCTGAGCTACTACAACAATCAATTTCCCTCTGGGATTAATAAAGTATTTTTGAATTGAATTGAATGAACTAGTTATATGGGACTCCTGTTTCACTTCATCCTTCCCGATTCCCACCCTCTCCCATAAGTTTCGGCTTAATATTTGTTTCCCCTTGTGAGGCAGGTCAAAGAAACCGTTTAATAAAAAGGTGTCAAAGCTTCATGTGGAAGCACGCTGAACTCCACCTGAGGGAGTTAACCTGACAGCCCCTCTATTCAAAGTGTAAATCACTTTTTTGTGGTAAAAGCCAGGCATTAAGAGGGTTCATGATCACTGGAGACCTGATGTTTTGACAGTAATTTGGGAATCAAACAGAACTATGAAAATAAGCCCCCTTAGCACAGAGGGCACATATTTTTCTGCAGGTGTGTGACTGAACCTGACCACACACCTGCTGGATGGTAAACACACACACATCATTTTGTTGCCGCAGAAAGGGGAAGGCAGGGTAGTTTGGCCAGGAAAATGTTCAAATGGTAGCGTTGAAACTTGAAATCACATTATAAGCAATTAGAAGCAGTAGTAACCTGAGCCCAAATAATAAAAAAAAAAAGATTCTGTTGGAGTTCTGTCACTCACAATCCAAACCCGGGCACAGAAAACTCATCTCAACCCATCCTTCAACGTCACACACACGGACATGCAGGCAGCCACTGGAGTGAAAAGCCACACATCAAACACATTTATTGTAGACTTAAAAAGTGCCTGAAAGCACACGCATGCTCCAGTAACCAGAGGCTGTTCAGACCACCCTCACTGTCCAGGAACCCCCATCTGTCCTCCACCAGCCTCAGATGTACACGTCAGCGTTCATAAAAGCATTGGGCATCACGTTTCTTTTGAAATGCAAAATTCTGAGTTGGATTTTTATTAATTTTACCAAAAGTTGAAAAACAATTAGGGAAACCACAGGTAGATAAATCTGACCCGTGTTGTTGGGAAGAGAAAAATCTCCTCAGTGTGTGTGTGTGTGTAACCCCACCTGTTCTCTGCGTTTCAACCTGAGACCTCATTAGCACACAGTGTTTTATTTCCACTACATTACCTGCACGGTTTGCTGTTTGGCTTGGTGTTTGTGGTCCTCTGAGTATGATTGTGTGCTCAACTGTATTTCATTATACAACTAAAAACCTGTTTCATGAACCCAGCCTTCCTGACACCACCTCTTGTGGCTGTGCTCAGGTACGACTATGTGGAGGTGCGAGATGGCGTGGACGAGAATGGTCAGCTGGTGGGGAAGTACTGTGGGAAGATCGCTCCCTCTCCGGTTATCTCGTCTGGAAATCAGCTTTTCATAAAGTTTGTGTCGGACTACGAGACCCACGGAGCGGGTTTCTCCATCCGATATGAGATCTTCAAGACTGGTGAGTTGCAAAATTATTTCTGCCACTGGAGTTCAAATGGAATCCTGGATGCATTTGAATTAATCTCCCATAAAGTCTTCATTGCATGTACACCTACAGCCTATAAATGTTTGGAGTCAACCCAGTTAAAAATGGTCCCTACAGGAGATCGACCTCAGCAAATAAGGAAAAAAATGGCTACAACTCAGTCCAAAAACCCAAACTATTGCCCTAAATAGACTGCTGTCTTTTTAAATGTAAGCATGTTGGTCTTGCTTCAGGTGAACTAGCTCAAATCTTGCTGAAGCACCCAGATAATGCTGTAAGAAACCAACTACATCTGCATATAAACGGCTCAGTTGAGGTGATGCTGGTAACTTCTGGATGTGATGAGATCGTGGAAGCGGCATTCTGATAATTTCTTCACCTCAAAGTAGCAAGTGTTACACCATCGAGCAGTACACGAAGGAGAGCGCTCTGGCCGCACAGGTTAAATGTTCCCACTTTAAGAAAAGCGTTAAATTGCATTTTTTATGTGCTACCTGGGCACTCTAAATATTTATTTAAAATTAAATCAAAGGAAATTGTAATGGTATCGAATGTTTATTAATTACTATTTAAAAAATGAAAGTGATGGGGAAAAAGGTCGATCATTTTTTTTAACCCTGTCTGTTTAGCTTGACGTCTGATATAGTAAATATATATATATATATATATATATATATATATATATATATATATATATATATATATATATATATATATATATATATATATATATATATATATATAGCCATGCCCTGATGTGGGGGCTGGGGGGTGCGTCGACATGGTCGGGACATAGAAGGGGGTGCGCGGCTAAATAATTTTGGGAACCACTGCCTTAGGACATTGTCCATTTCCTGTTTTAACGTCGTCTGCTTCACTCCGACCAGCATTTGTTTCCCATCTGCGTTGCCATAAGCTAACCAAAAGAAAGCTGAAATGAAAGGGTGCATGTCGCCACCTACTGTACCGGAGTGGAACAAACTTCATTTGAGAGTTTGGTTTTCTAACCTAAACTGGGATGAAAACTCCCAGTTTATTACTTTAGATTGACCTAGATCAACGCAGATGCACCTGTAAATGCACTGTGTTTAAAAAATCTAGACATTTACAACTTTTAGGGTATGCTTGATTTAAAACAGCCATGACAAATGCTGCGCCTTCCCTCCGATACACTGTACAACAGGAAGAGTATAGAAGACTCTTTTCTTTTAAAGATGGCTTAAAAAGCGAATCAACCGTGGTTTAGTTGAAATGTGAGATGTGGTAGAAGCTGAGAATCATTCACCACACAGAATGAGATTATTTTCAAGGTTTGAGCTAATTGGCTTTGACTCCACTGAAAAAGTGCTAGTTAGTCTTGATTTAAGATTAAGGGAATGTTGAAGCTTCTGTCATTTGATCTGCTAAACACAAAGTCTGATAGAGAAGAAAAACTGGATGAATGCTACTGCCAAACAAGTGAGAGTCTTAATTTCATGGTTTGTTTATGCTTCAGTCAAGGCATCACTTTATGCAAATGCAATATGGCAACCGATGTGCTCGTTCCAAAACAAATGAATCATAGGCCCATATGTTCAATAATTGTAGCACTTTTTGTGTGGTGTGAATTATTATACCATAAGCAAGGCTGTAATTTGCAAAGCGGTGATTGAACAAATGTTGTTTCAAGTGTTGGTTTATCGTCAAATGGCCGTCTGGAGCGAGGATGTCAACCGGCCGTTATTACATGTGACAGGCTGCTGGTGGAGAAAGTGAATTCAGACCACTTTACAGTGTTCATGTCAACCTCACGGTCCCTGATGCATCATAACAGAGCAAAAAAAGGGTGGTTAATATTTATTTATGCGTATATGTCATTTGAGGATGTCTATCTTATCAGGGGCTTAGGGAGAACATCATGCTCTTCTTTGTTTGCACTGGAAAAAGATAAGAGAAAGAGGACAGCCTTTTTAGGAAATGAGTGTTAGTGGAGGTAGACAGGTGCTTCAGACTCCACTTTCATTGATTAACCTGAGCAGCAGTCCATGGGGCAGCCCTCCCCTTCCCCCTCATGACCTCTGAGACATAATAAATAGCCTGGCAAGGTTTTTCCATCCTTTTAATCTGGACTGGTGTGTGTGTGTGTGTGTGTGTGTGTGTGTGTGTGTGTGTGTGTGTGTGTGTGTGTGTGTGTGTGTGTGTGTGTGTGTGTGTGTGTGTCTGGCTGTGAGAACGTCATCACCACAGCAGGACAGCTGGTGAAGAGCGGGGCCATTTATGAGATCAAAGTGACAATCTTCTCCGACATATGCAGCCTCATTTGCTCACGCAGCCTCGTTCCCCTCCACGGGCCGCTTAACTCGGCTACGTTCTTTCCACGATCACTTTAGCATCTCTTGGTTTTGTTTATCAGTTAGGACTGATTATAAATGAGCCGTGTTAGGAGCCTTCTGACAGTCTGGGGCCGACAGACTGGCTTTAGATGAGAAAATACACAACCAGAAAAAGAAAAAAAAAGGGTTTTAAGTGGATATACAAAGCTACTGCTTGACGACAAGCGGTGCATTTGTGCTGATTGAACTCAAAGTGGAATCAGAGTTGAGTGGTGGCAGAAATTTTTCATCTGGGTGTTCCGCGCCCAGCCCCGTTCCTCCCTGCAGAGAGGAGCGCCGCGGGTGGGCCGTCACTGCCTTTCTGGATCCGGACCCTCGTTATCCTTTGAATTCGCTTTGTGTTTTGACTACGACGGCACTGACTCCAGCCAAGAACGGCTCTGAAATCAATTAACAGCTCTTGTTTGCTGGAGCGAGAAGGAGAGACATCCAAGCAGAATGGAAGACACAAAGCTAGCTGATTAGCACAGCTTATCAACAAACAGGGCATTAGCTGGGAAAACATTGCGTCGGCTAACACATGCAATGTTAATGATGATACACAGATGTGCCGATAGCGGATAAAGAAACGAGGAGGCTGGTGCGTGTCAATAATAGGAGGCGCAGAACTCAACCTGTTTACCGCTGTGATCATAAACCTGAATCCCTGCGAGCGTGCCTCGGGGAGTTCCTCAAGCAAAGGTCACATAGTAGATAAACAAACAAACACATGTAAACACACACACCCTTTATGGATCATGTGCCAGCTTATGAAAGTGTGTTTATATGTGCAGCTTGACCCTCTGAAGCTGTAAACTTCCTCACCTACAGTTGAAAATGTTGGCGTGATTTTTATCAGCTGCTGCCTGCAAAGTGTCTAATTGGAAGAGAACAGGTTGTTTTGCTTCTCCGTTTGGCTACTTCCACATCAGTCTCTACCCCTCTCCACTCCTCGGTCTCATCCAGCCATCTTAATTAGCACGGGCTATTTATTTTATAGCCTGCAAATTGGCAGCCTCGCTCCGCTGGCTGAAGTCTGGCAAGAGACGGGGTAGCGAGAACGGCTGGGAGGGAGGACGAGTGGGAGGGATGTTTGGGCTGAAGGGAGCAGGTTGGCGACATGTTTCTCTGTTTAGAGGCTTTTCACTTCAGGCTGATAATATAAGGTGTATATAAAGGCCGAACAAGCCGGATTTGAAAAAAAAAATCCTGCTCTTCGAAATGAGCACTTTTCACATATTCTCTTAAAAGTTTCACATATTTTTGGAAATAATCTTAGTTTTAAGCCAGTTCAAGCAGCTCTACATTTAACTGAAGACCGTAGTTTGCTGTTTTAGCTGTTTTTACCTAGTGATTAAAAAGGACACACAAGGATTGACGGCGGTGAGATCGACCTCACTAATTATGGTTTCAGTTTAAAAGGATTGGATAGTTTTGAATGTGGATCTGGAGCGAGTAACGACCATCCTAGTCATCTGAAACAGTCTACGTCTGCACCGCACAGCTAGTTGGACACAAAATTGTACTAAAACGGATACAAATTGTTTTGCGATGACCCAGAACTGGTATTTAACACATTTGCTGAAAAAGCTAATAAATAGCAACTGTTGACCAAAACCTGTGCAAACATTGTTGCTGCAGATTATCCACAGCATGCTGACTCAGTCCAGCTTCCCCAACCCCTCATGTTGTCTTAAATGTCCTTTACTCCATAAGAGTTCCAGACAACAACTCTGTTTCTGAGAGAAAATGTGTCTCGCAGCTTTTTGGAACTTGTTCAGAATTCCAGCATGTGCAACTCACGCTAGGAAACTGAGAACCCTGAAAAACATTTCACAATAGTTTGAAAACTACCTCAGGAGTGCTGTTTGCAGCCTGCTGCCAGCAAGTCTCAGCCCAGTGAGATACCGGCTTTAGACCACACTGCTAGCTGATTACAGCCCCCCCCCCCCCCCCCCCGCGCGCACACACACACACACACACACACACACCATTAAACCATCACTGCTGCACAGCAGAATGAGTCATTCTATGAGGGGGGGCACACAACAAAACATCTTTTCATTTTCCTGCTCCCCCATTTGTCGCGTCAACGTGATCCAACGCTGACAGCACACCTGTGAAAATAGTATCTATTGAGGTTGACAAAGGTAGATGGTGTGACTCACATATGATTTAAAGATGCAGGGTCACCACACACACACACACACACACACACACACTCACACACACACACACACACACACACACACACACACACAACCATCATGGAAAATTTGGGCAATTTCTAGAAGATTAAGGAGGGAGACTCCACCTGAGGGCTGACATCGTGGGCACATGCCACATACCATCAGGATAGCTCCACAGTGTGTGTGTGTGTGTGTGTGTGTGTGTGTGCACGTGCGCATGTGTGTGTGTGTGTGTGTGTGTGTTTCCATCTGTTTAAGTGACTTACCTCCTGCTTTCTGGTTAATGGTTGATTTAGTGCAGAAAGAGTTAATTTTCCACCAGCAGTTAACCCTTCTGTCAGTGTGGCATGAGGGCAAGATGAAGGGGAGGGGATGCCTGTGATGGGTGAGGATGGGGGTGGGGGGGTTGCCTTAATGACCAGCTAGAGAGCAACATGCCAAACAGTGATGGTTTCCTTTGCCGTCCAAAAACAACACAATCAGCTCTCATGGCTGTGGCTTTAATTGCTAAAGGAAGTGGTTGGTTTTTGGGACTGGAGTGTGTTGGAGCTGTGATTAGCTGATAAAAGGAGATTTGAAACTTGAAGGAAGAAGAGAGAGAAATTAGAAAAATGAGCACAGCGAGCAGCTGTCACTTTTAGAGCTGGGTACTTGCAGCAGTGTTGCTCCAGTGATTAATGGCTGGTCTCGGGTCTGCTTTTCAGCACTTAGAGCAACAGCTTAATAGAAACACAGAGGAACAAGTCATCAGGGAGACGAACGGCTGAAACTCGCTCCTAAAATGTTGGAGGCATATTTATTTAAGGTTCATATTCATCTCAAACACTTGCAAAGACTAAAATCAAATCTCCATCACGTACGATTGCTGCAGCTTGTGGCGTTAAACAAACTCTTAATTACTCAGTGAGCGAGTCACAAACAGCGTTTATTTACTCCTGGTTTCAGAGGAGAAGGGCTCAGTGAAAATAAAGTTAAAGGAAGCATTTAAGTGTCTGGTCGGATGCTGGAGGTAAATGTGCATTCAAGGTTTCTTCTTTTTTTCTTACTTCCTCCCATAAATCCAGCTGCTTGTCTGAAGGCAGCCATTGCACTGCCAGCTGCACTCTGGTCAAACTGTCTGTTTCATTGTGGATGAAATGCAACTACGTGTGTTTCTCCTTTTATTTGCAGACCCGTTTTAATTCCTTTTTTAACCCTTTTCTCACCACAGTGATGAATCTTCTAAAGATGACACCAACCAGGGAGGCGATAAAAGAACACAGGGTGTAACAGAGATAAGGTCTGAGGGCAGGGAGTCAAACGTTCAATAAATTTGTCGAAAACCTCCCTGTCAACACAGATGTGAGCAAACAAGCTGCATGTGTGCATGGACAATAGCACACAAAGGCGTGATAGTGATCAGAGAAAGCCACTCGCTCAGACTTTGCCTCAAAGTGTTGTGGGTTTAGCAAAGGGAGCAGGGGAAGACCCCCTACATGGAGGCACTTAATGAAAAAGATCTGCTGGACGATTTTCTCGCCCATGGGAGCAGTGAGTATTTCTTGCCTCACTTTTTATTCCTTTTATGCAGCCAGAAACATAAAGTCTGAGAATGGTGGGGTTTAATCTTAGTTCTTATTATTTATTACGGAACAAAGTGAAATAATTCAGTAAATCTTTATCAGTGTCTTCATTTAAAATGTAAGAGAAACAAGTGATTTTAAGGTGTATTTTTTATTCATTTTGGTAAGACGTTCTTTATATGTTACATTGAGGGGGCGGGGCTTAGTGTTTATCCTGCAGCCAGCCACTAGGGGGTGTTCTTTCAGCTTACATTTTATGTTGCTGCTTTAATAAATGATTAAATGGGTTGAACAGTAAGGACAAGATGAGATTTTGATCTGTATGAGTGAGATTTTGAATTTTTTGTGGATTATTCCTAAACATCAGTTTTGGGTAGGGGTTGATGGGATAGCTGGGGAGAAAAATGAAGAAATTCACAACTTCAAAGTAACCTCTTTTCCCAAAGAAGCATCTCTCACATATTGTATTTCTTCGTCAAAATATCGGACATTCTCCACAAAAACGTGACCAGGTTAAGTGCGGAACTGCAACATTCAGGGAATGCTGTCCTTTTTGGCAAATTCTCTCCATTTTCTCAGAGTAAATACTAGGGAAGCTGTGAAATTAATGGTGCCCACTGTTCTCCAAGGCCACACTTTAGCTGTGACGCTAAATGTCAACTCTCGTTTGAGTCAAAACGACGCTCGCCGTGGCTTTCAAGTCAGGAAGAAAGAAAATCAATGTGGCTCTCCAGCCTCTCGCACGCTCCAGTGTTGGACAGGCTCAAGTGGGCCTGATGGTCTTCAATTAGGGGCCCAGCGAGATGCCTGAGTGACGCTGGAAAAAGCAGTTTGCCTCGTTCATTTGAGCTACGGTGACTGCAGCACGGCAGCTCTATCCAGCGATAACTCCCTGCAATTTTGGTTTCTATTGGACCCATCTGCACCCATCACACCAGCTGCCAGACTAGCATGAAAATGATGTGATCCTGGGTACATTTCTGCCACTAATGGCTGCAAATAATTGCCCTGAATGACAGAACTACTGTTTTTTTCTGATGTGTGTATTAGAAAAACTTAGACCGACTCTTGAGCCCACATCGTCACATCTTTCCCACTTGTAAAAATGACAGTTCAGCTGTTAGTCTGATGTTTTAAAATGTGTCAGTCAATCTAGAGTCCTAATCTGGTGTTAATGAGGCTCTGAGAGGTAGCGACCACGAGGAATGTCATAATGCTCCTCCTCAGCTCAAACGGAGCTTTCTAGGGAGCTGTGCATAAATATTTGGCTGTTCTCTTGTAAAAACTGTGTGTGTGTGTGTGCGTGTGTGTGTGTATATGTGTGTGTGTGTGTGTGTGTGTGTGTGTGTGTGTGTGTGTGTGTGTGTGTGTGTGTGTGTGTGTTAGAGAGGTTTTTTTACAGCATGAATCAGTTTATTCCTTGTTCCTCAAATCTGGTGATTGAAGCCATTCAATAATGTTTGCAGAGTTGGGTCCAGATGTTCCAGGAGTTTCTAATTTAGCGCGCACACACACACACACACACACACACACACACACACACACACACACACACACACACACACACACACACACACACACAGTTTTTCCTAATGAGAAATAAAGAGAGGAAAAAAATTATGGGATGCAAATGTAACTTATTGTAACTAGAAGAGCCATCAAGGTGGTCCCACCAGCTGAGGGCCACAAACAGGCCTGGTCCCAATAGCGTCCAAACACATCACTTTCACAACCGCAGTTCAGACTGCCATCTTCTCATCTCGTCATCTTTGCTTTGTCCTTCCTGTAGGTCCCGAGTGCTCCAGGAACTTCACCTCCAACAGTGGAGTCATAAAGTCGCCTGGGTTTCCGGAGAAATATCCCAACAACCTGGACTGCACGTTTATGATCTTTGCCCCAAAGATGTCCGAAATCATTGTGGAGTTTGAGAGCTTCGAGCTGGAGCCAGACACGACGCCACCTACTGGTGTATTCTGCCGCTACGATCGTGTTGAGATCTGGGACGGTTTCCCTGGAGGTGAGTGAAGGCGGCAAACAAAAGTCCGTTTTTAAAATACCCGCGACTCCTGTGTGAGACTGTGTCACAGTCACGTTTGTTTTGTTGCACCAAAGCCAGTCTTTAGTGATGGTTTTCTCCTTCTCCTCAGCCTTGTTCAAAGTTAATTTCCCACTGATATTCTAGAGGAGGTGCTTTCCTTGGACCAGTGGACAAAATGTGTGCCTTACGATCATCAGAATGCTTAGTCATCGCTCAACACTTCCTGATCACAAGAGTATCCCGCCCGTCCAAGGAACAGGATGTGTGAAGGCAGTGATTTGTTAGGTCTGATGCGTCTACGAGCTCAAGGTCTAATCTGGGGTGTTGTGTTTGAGGTTTTGTTTGACAGCCCCATCATGCAGGAAATGACTCAAAAAGGCATTTCCTTCGTAAGTTTCCTTGTGTTTTCCTCCTAACACGAGGAAACAAAGATGCTCATACCAGTAGAGCTGAGCTAGTTTTCACACACTTGATCAGAAAATGAACCACAAGATCCAAAATCCAATCATCTCAAAAATCAGCAGGCGAGGAGTAGGGTGGGGGAGGGAGGGTGGTGTCAGAAGACTTGCTCCCACAGCCTGAGATTAGCCTTTTAACTCAGCGAGTACATCTTCAAGTTTCCTTCTCTTTTTCTGCTGACGATTCCAATGCAAGGTGCGGAAAAGATGAAAGCTTCTCTCACTCGTCTGAAAAGTGAAAGACTTTTTCTGGCTGCATTCACCCGGGTGCTCCTCAGTATTCTCCGCGCGTTGCGTTCCAGGTGATAAGGTTGAAGTGTTAATCACAGCGCCTCTTCAAGTGAGTTTAGTTGAAGTTCACATCTCGGAAGATCTTAACTTTGCGGAGGTGACCTTTGATTCTCTGGAGTGCGGCTCGTTTCCGTGTTTTCCCCTAGAGGTTTGGCGTGTTTCATTTCAGAGATTTGTATTGATTGACGAGCCGTCAAAGGCTTAGAAATGAGAGCATCCCTCATATTTTGAGGTAAAAATCTTACAAAAGACTTCAAAAGAAAACAACTGGATACTTGGTGCTACTTCTGAACCAATAAAGCTCACAGAAAGCTGAAAGCTCAGTTCAGTCGTGAGTTAACAAAACTTTGTTTGTCTGTTCAGAGCACTTTAATTTTTGTGGCATCACACCTTTTGAGAGTTGCTGTGTGCGACTTAAAAAAAGCCACGAGAGGAAGGTAGCATGGTGCCTTTTACCAGGTAGTTCCTGCCGTGCCGACTGGACCGATATTGCATTAGCGCAGGAGGAATGCTAGCAGCTGGAGCGCTCTGAGGTGGGAGGTGTCCGGGCAAGCAGCCGGGGATTCACACCTCCTCGTCCCCTCCTCCTCCCAACATAAACCTCGCTGGACAAGCACTCTGGAAGAAGATAGAAGAAGTCCTTCTCCTCTTCCCTCAGTAAAGAGGAGGCAGCAAGGACACTGAGTTCATAGTGAGGTTCTTTAAAATTTCATGAAGCGGTGGAGTCATGCAGATAATCTAGATAGCTTTTTTTCTCTCCTCAGTCCAGTACTTACCAGACTTAAAGGCACCCAGACACACACACACACACACACACACACACATCAGGCACCTGGTTTATGAAGATTAATCACACCACTGCCCCGTAAGTCCTCGTGGCCCAGCCTTAGCCTTTCATGTCAGAGCTGGGCTGGAAGTGGCATGTTTTGGATGACAGGAGGCCGCAGGGAGACAGGACTGTCACTCGCCGCTGATCACAGCATTACTAATCACAGATAAGCTGCAGGTCCCCTCGCTCTGACAGGAAAACACACTCATAAATGCACACGGATCACGGCACACATCAGAGACTAGGGACAAGGTCACTGTGCTCTTTTCCTCTAGTCCACTTTTTTGCTAGATTTCTGTCTTTTTCTGATACCTCCTGCCCATCGACTGTTGTGTTTACCCCCTTTTTCTCATCCTGCTCAGCGGAACATGTTCCTCTTGTTCTTTTATTGCTTGCTGTCCTTAAACGCTCCCCATTGTCCCTGTCTAGCCTTTACTCGTTCCACCTCCTTGGCTGAGTGCGCCTGAAGCCTAAGAAAATGAGTTTGAGGTATTTACAGCTGGTAAATAGACATAATGTGACCTGCTCCTGACCACAAAGTCCCCTTTGCTCCTTTTTTTGTCATTTAGGAATGTTTAGAAGCGTTTCCCATCCCTCTTTATGAGGCTCACCCCTTACTTAACTAACACACTAGTTTTCACACCTCCATGTGTGGCAAGGCTGTGACAGGCAAACAACTACTGAGTTTAGTCAAGTGTAACCCAAGAGACATTTGTGCTTTTTTTCCTCCAGTTGGGCCTTACATCGGAAGATACTGTGGTCAGAACACTCCAGGTCGGATCATCTCCTACACGGGAATTCTGGCACTGACAATCAACACCGACAGCGCCATCGCCAAGGAAGGCTTTTCTGCCAACTTCACTGTCATCGAAAGGACTGTTCCCGAGGGTAAGCTGGCACAATGAAAGATTACGTGCATGAGAAACTCAGGTAGCCAAGAAACATCTGAAGAAACCTGACATGGTGGAGGTTGAAATCTAACTCTAATCATAAAGCATCAGAGATGTGTTTAGAAGAGAATTGCTGGGCAGGAAAAAGCAACATCAGAAGCATTCACTGCCGGCCGTTTCCTGATCAAAAGAGCCCTTAGCCGCCAGCGTTTTTCAGCGTTTTCACGGTTTTTTTAAGAGTCACAGAACGTTGCGCTCTATGGTGATGCCAACGCCAAAACTACCAAAACAAAGAGGAGACTCACCCTTACATCAGAAGATTCCGCGTGTTTCGAGCGTTATCCGTTCTTTCATAATCCGTTGTTGAATTGTGATCGGCAGAAGCTTCTCCGGTTTGCGCCTCACTTTTTTTACACCAACGGCCCAAAACGATCTAACACATGGATTTCCTGCTTCCTGATCACGTGACGTGTGACGTACGCGGATGAAGATCGGCTTTAGAGCTGGGATGTTTGTTCTCATGGTGCTCGTTCCGACGCCCACACAGTAAAAAAAATGCAGTTGATGAGTTAATGCAAACAAGAACCGGATTTCCTATCGCAAAGGGTTTACACTCGTTAGAGTCATTAAACACGTCCTGCTTCATCATCATTGCCCTCCATGTGTTTGTTTTTCTGGAGTTTTAGAAAATCATCCCATTAAACAGTAAAGTGGGGCGATGGTGGTACAGGAGTCAAGTGCTGGCCCTGTAATCGGAAGGTCGCAGGTTCGAGCAAAGGTCAGTCTGTCGCTGCCGTTGTGTCCTTGGGCACGACACTTAACCCAGGTTGCCTACTGGTGGTGGCCTGTGTACGGCAGACTCGCCTCTGTCAGTGCGCCCCAGAGCAGCTGTGGCTACAATGTAGCTCATCACCACCAGGGTGTGAATGTGTGTGTGAATGGATGAATGACTGATTGTGTTGTAAAGCACCTTGGGGGGTTCCATGACTCTAGAAAGCGCTATATCAAATACAGGCCATTTACCATGTTTGAACTTCAAAAGGAACCAAAACCAAATTAGAGGAACATCTACATTTGAAAGAAGTTCGGGGTCAACTCCATTTAAAATGGTCGCCACAAGCACCTGAAAGGAAAAAAAAAATACATAACAGTTAATGTTTCAGATTCAAAAATGTAAACGTCCTTCACATTCCCGCTGCTTCACGTCTTTAATTTCAGGGACATGTTTCAGGGTGAGCCTCTGCCTCCTGTGGTTACCGGGGCCAGCGTTTACATACTGTCTCCAGAACCTAGCTTCTCCATCAGTAACGAGCTTTGGACACACAAACCTCAGCACACCCCGGGGGCTTCTACATGCTCCCTTGCTGTCACAAGGCTTGACCTTCCTGACCCTGTTTTGCAAAGCGCTCCATCTAAACATTTCATTAGGAAAGACGAGCTCCAGTAAAAGTTGTAAATCTGTCCCGCAGCTAGACCACCCCATGCACACACACACGGTCAGGCTCCGAATAGTAACAGAGGCAGATGACTTTCAGCAAGTCGACTAATCATCTCCAAAAGGGATTTGGTCTTGCCTGAAGGGAAGACACTATTAGTGAACACACCAGCAACGACAACAACAAGTGTAAGGAGCTCGACGACAACAACTCGTGTGTTTTCTTTTAATCACGCATCTAAAATCAGATTATGCTAGTCAGTTATACCTATATACCTATTTACTGGTTAAAGGTGAAGTACCTGATCTGAAACCAGCGAATACTCCAGCTTAAGACCAAGTTGCTTGGTTTTACATCATCAGCTCTATCTGATAGAAAAGAAAAAATCCAGGCTTGTTCCAACTGAATCATTCATAATCCCCTTATGCATAATACACTGTGGATTTTCTCGCTTCTACATGGCGAGGAGAAACCCACTGATGGGAGGTGATAAGGTGATGAACGGCACTCTTGTTTTTCACTCCGACCCATTCCTCTTGTTCATATTTCCTTCGCTCGTCCTGTGTTTTCTCAGCTATTAGCCCTCGGTAAGCCACATGATCAGATACCCTCGGCAGCAAACAAATGTCTCTTTGTTTTTTTCTGTCGATTCTTTTAAAAGCGTGGAAGAAAGTTCAGCAGCAACAGACGTTTTTCTGCAAGAGTGTGGAGGGGAAGATGAGGGAGGTGTGAGACGGTTTTGTCGGTCTCACACAGAGAATCGGACGTACTTGGATCGCATTAACACACAGTTCAGCATTAACAGTGTATAATACACACAAACACGCATTGGATGAGGGTGTGCTAGCGGTACGACAGATGGGGATACCATCTGTGTTAGCTCTCATGGCACTTCCACACCACTTTTGGTTTTGGAGCAAGATTTCATTCAGGGAAAAAAACGATGGAGTTAGCCAATAAAATGAGGAAAAGTGTGCATTCAAACTCAGTGTGAGAGTCTTAAAGGTCGTTTTCTTCATTCCACTGATGTTTTTCTCCACCGAGGTCAGCATGTCTGACCTGCTGTGGTTGGAGAGGCTGACCTGGAGCTGACCTGCAGTCTTTAGCCTCAGACCTGAGGATGCCTGAAAACGGCTGCCCCGTGTCAATGTAAACAAGGGAAGTCACCTTCTAGCATAGCTGCTTGGGTCAAAGGATGTGATACATGGCCTTTAAATGTAAATAGTAAACGTGTTTAAATGGTCAAAAATGTTGGTCTGTGCAAAGAAAAAAGATAATGCAGCGCTTAGGGAGGCAGTGAGGGAAACACATCCAGTCAGTGGAAAAAAGGGAAAGTCACTCCGACGCTTAAGACCAGCACAAACCACACTGAATGTTTTATGAAGACATTATTACGTCTTAATGTGGAACACTTTTATCTAGCTTCTATTAAAAAGTACTGAGAGACAAACAGAACGGATTTACTGGGGCGTTGCTGATCTGCTGCTGTCTTCTCCAAGGAGGGAGGTGTGGTGGTGGTGTTGGGGGGGGGGGGGGGGGGGGGGGGGGCACCAAGAGTGCATTTTTGCCTCCAGATCAATTTTCCTAAATCCTTTTCTAAACCTCTGCTTCTCTTGTTCCTGCTTCCTCAGACTTTGACTGCAGCGATCCTTTGGGAATGGAGTCAGGAGAGATAACATCAGACCAAATCATGGCTTCATCCCAGTACAACCCCAGCTGGTCCCCAGAGCGCTCCAGACTTAACTACTATGAGAATGCATGGACGCCGGCCGAGGACTCCAACAAGGAGTGGATTCAGGTAATGCGTGTGAACTTATTCCCTTATTATGGAAAATTGCTTCCTGAGATGTAGTTCCAGCCATGTGGTGGACGTTAATCCCGTCAGTAAATCCAAACTTTTTGGAGGAAGCCTAATTTCTGAGGGTGCAGCACTGGGAGTGACTCCTGCTCATATGAGTGCTTGATATGATCACTTCTGTCTCTAGAGGAGGGTAATTTTCATATTGCACCAACAGTTTCAATAGCAGGTCCACTGGAATGGAGTTCACACTTCACACAAACGGCCGAGTCAGCTCGAACATTTACTATCTGCCTATCCTCCTGCATCTTCCTCTCCCTCTGTCTTCCTGTCCAAACAGATAACGTCCCTCTTTCCTTAGAGCAGAGGCTGCCTTCAGAGATGCTGGGATTTAATTCAAGCATCCTGCCAACCTTCACACACACACACACACACACACACACACACACACACACACACACACACACACACACACACACACACACACACACACACACACACACACACACACACACACACAGAATCGTAAACACACAAACGGGCTCTGTCATATTTTTCCTGTCTGTTGGCTTATCTGCACAAAGCGATCATCACCCACCAAGGGAACTTTATGTGGGAAGATTAAGGATTTAGTTCTTTCATCCGAAGACGGGGATAAGACACACATATCAAGTCCACTCACATCACAAACCCCCCGAGTGTCACAAACATTGCACCGCTACTGCGAGTCTTTGATTTATTAACCTAAAGCTTCCAGACTGTTTTCCTTTTTTTAGTCTGCTTCATTTCTAAAAAGTTTGGTCCTGACTTATACCTCAAGGGACAAATAATGGAGCTGACCTGAAGCCAAATATTTTCTTGGAGGGAGTCATAAGTAAGCTTTTTTTTTATTATCACAATAATTTTTTCCTGGGGCCCCGTTCCTCCTTCACGCTAATTTAATCAATGACAAACCGCGTGTGTGTGTGTGTGTGTGTGTGTGTGTGTGTGTGTGTGTGTGTGTGTGTGTGTGTGTGTGTGTGTGTGTGTGTGTGTGTGTGTGTGTGTGTGTGTGTGTGTGTGTGTGTATGTGTGTGTGTGTGTGTGTGCAAGTTGTTGTGCATTCTCATGCTCTGGTGTGTGTCTGGTTTAGTTTGGCAGCTCCCACTTACAGAGGGTCCCAGCATGAGTCTGAGTGGATCAGGAAGTACTTCCTCCAGCATCTGTTGGATTAATAATCCATCTTTCTTCGAGGAAAGTCCAGAGTTTATGGCCACAATTCTTTTAGATGGACGAATAACATAACTCGACACAGAAGCATAAGTCAGAAGTCAAAGTAAGAAGAAATTGAGTCCATCTAGTGGCGGGTTTCCATAGAGGTTGTAAGCCTTCAAGACTTCAGTCTGACACAATAGATTCTGGTTCCTACAACATGATAGCACACATGAATGTTATAGCTTCCCTTTAGTGTCAGCTCATCCAAGTTCTTACCATTACAGATGGGTTAGGGTTAAGATTAGATCATGTAACTAAAGTCTAAATTACTCTAAACTTCTGCTGTTTTCCCCACCGGTAGTAAAATTAAAACAGTGAACTCATCCATTTCTTATTTCAAAGGCAGCTAAAGAGTCTTGGCTTCAGCTTTAGATTTATGTTATTAAGGAATTTGATGTTCTTTTGCCAAGCAGTTATCACAAGTGGATTATTATTCTCATTCCTCTTCCATCAATCCTGTTCATGGTGTTGCAACAAGCCCAGGCAGCATCACGGCATGTGCAAGTCATCATTGCACAGACATGCGGATCGATTCATCGTGTCTTTCATGATCATCCTCTGACTGCAGTTTCCAGCCAGACACTTTTATTATTTATGGTCTGTTGCCTTTGATTCCCAAATGCTGCTTTCCTTCTTTTCTGAACATTCTGCCGATTTTTCATCCGTTTTAATGCAGCCTGATTCTGATGCTTGGAGAGAAGGGATGCTGGAGTCTGTGCATGTTTTACTGGCTAATTAGATTGGGTTTGTGTGGTTCAGCTTTGAGCGGGGGTTAGCAAGGTCATTAATCAGCACAGAGATGGACAGACGTCCTTAGAGGGAAAAAATAAAAAGGTTGTAATCCCTCAAAGTAGGTCCACTACCTTATTTTCTTTTTCCAATAACATTTAATCCATTTCTTTCTCATGGCTTGTCTCCCACTTGCTTTTAGTAAATCCATGTTTAGAGTTAGAAGACTGGTGCATGCTGTCTGCACTGCCCTCTCTGCAGGTCAGCAGAATTGTGTCTGTGGTGTGTTGCAGCAGATCTACAGTAAATGAAGGTAAACCAGACCACTCACTGTTCTCTTGGTTTGTAAACTTCCACCTGTGTAGCGCATGTCTCTCAAAGGTATTTATAATTAGTTTACAGCAATAGTTAATGGTTTCTTTTGAACTTTTGGTAAACTTCTGACTTTTGTAAACGATAGCTTTATTAAATACATTAGAGGAAGGACTTGACGGCCACCAGGAATCACTCGAGCAAAGATCCGATAAGAGACTGACTGCAATAGTGAATCTCTGTTAGGCAGCTGCCATTGATTGCACAACATCAATAATTTAGACTGTTTTGGAGACAGCTCAGCTGTCAATACCTGAAAGCCTCTTTATTGAGTATCTTGTGTATATCTTTCCCCATAAATACACTATGTACACGTATAAATTAGCTCCACTGGCTCCTAACTTTATTTTCAGTCTTCCTGCCAGGATGCATTATCCTTGTTTTCTTCCACAGTCTTTATGCATCAATCAGCCTTTATTTTATCCCCGCATTTTCCATCATTTTACCATTTTCACCATTTTAAATAGAACCAATCCAACAGAAAAATGGCCAGTTTTAAACGACCGGCAAATGTGAACACAAATTTCTTGTCGCCACATATTTTCTGGCAGTTCTGGTTCATCATGCACTAGCGGACCTTGTGGAAAGGTTCTTCTGACCATTCACAAACAACGTCGGGAAAGGGTTCTTTTACAAACGGTTCTCTGCAACTTTTTGCATTTTAAGGTGAGTTTAATTTTAAATGGCCAATTCCGTAAGACCATCTGAGTCTTCTGCTTAGAGGACATCGTTGGGCCCACCTATGAGTCTTTCATCACTTGTATTGTTAACATATAAAAGGAGCTAACCCCTCTATCCTCTGGCTCACGTCATGTGAAGAATCCTTTAATCTTTCCTTCCTAACAGATGAAAGCGCTAAACCCCAGGAAGTATATAAATGTTTGTTGACACAAAATGCTCCTTTATCTCTTTCATGATTAATCCCAAGGTAAAGTTAATCATAGCGGGACAACAAGGATGTGGTAGTTTCAAACCTTCATGTTTGGAGGGGTGAGGGTAACACGCCTTGTCTTGACCTCGTTTCCTCAAATCTTGAAAGCAAACAAAGCCAAGAATCCAAACCCAGCTGACCAACCAAACATTTGATTGCACATTTCCTGAACTAAAATGCAGCTCTGTGTGACTAGCTAACATCAGTCACTAACACAGCATGTCCTGTTTTCATTTTCTTCTTAATGTGCTTTCCATTACCTCAAGCCAGAGATGTGCAAAAACACCCCTTCCATTGTTTCGCTCTTTACTTCTCTACCCATTCTGATGGCTTACCACCCTGCAGAGTGACGAGTACTCAGAGTATGGACGGGTAATTAACAGCAACTTCTCGGTTGATGAAGTTTAGCGAGAGCAGGCTGGCACGCAGCTGCCTGTGAGATCATCATCAGCATCATCCTGCTGTACAAATGGAAACAATGGATTCTGTATGTGCCTCACTGCTTCTGGGGCTTTGCTCTCAATTTGAAAATCAATGAGATGACAGAGACTTAAACTCGATTAGAGTAGCCAAAAACTGGGGCTAGCAATCGAAGCATTAGCGATTGCATGATGTAATGAAACGTGCTGCATAAGTACCCAAAAACGCAAGAAAACTCAACTCAGACACAATCAGTGCCATTTTCTGTGTCTGCATGACAAAGAACAGCAAACGTCTGAAAGCCATAGTCAATGTCCAGCTGTGCATCCTGGGAAAAGTTCAGCAAGCAGCTTCCAGACATGACATACCTTCAGGTCGCGCTCTTTTTCTTCCCCTTCCCAGGTTCTTAGTTTCATAATCATTACTCACAGAATTAGTCAGGGGTGAGTGTCAAAGCTGACCTCAACGTTTGAGTACTAAAGATGATTCACAAACAAGGAAAATCCGACTTCCTCTTTGAGAGGTGGCTTAAACGTTTAATCATGCAACATGTGACTAAACACAAGCACACTTCATATAAAAGAAACCAGACAGCCTTTATCTCATTCTGGCTGCAAGCCGACCTTTGAACCCTTCTGTGTCACCATAAAAGATGATTACGCATGGGAAGATGTGCATAATTAAATGCCAGCAAAGAGGTGTCGGGTGCTAAAAATAAACTGTCAGGTGAGTGGTGTGATAAATGGGAGGTTGGAGGTGAAGCTCAGAGGTTCTGCAGCACTTTCATAAAAGCAGGATTAATTACGCTTTAAGAAATATAGCCTAAAGGTTTCTTTTACCAATGCCAAAGTAGCTAGGTGGAATTAGTGAAAAGGTTGCTTTTGGGAATATAAGCACACGTCTGCTTGTATCGGCTCACACAAATGTCAGCTTGCTCTCATTCAAGGGGAATCTAATCTGATTTTATGCAAAGGAAGTAAAAAATAAATAAATAGTGATTTGAGGCTTTGTATCTATGTTAGGACGTGTTACTATACCATCCTCGGAAAAGCACATCACCAGAGGATGTTTCCTAGATCAAGGCCTCTGTCTGTATGTACCAGCTGCTCTTTGGATTTGCAGCACTTCTTTCTGCATCTCTGTTAGGGATGCACCGATACTGATACTGGTATCGGCACCGATACGATGCCAATACCAGTATCGGTATCGGTAAAAGTTAACCGATACCAGGAACCGATACCTATGCAGTTGCTTGAAAATGGCTTCACTGTAACTTGTCATTTCTGTTCACCTA